TGATGGCGAACCTGATGGCGAACCTGATGGCGAACCTGATGGCGAACCTGATGGCGAACCTGATGGGGAACCTGATGGGGAACCTGATGGGGAACCTGATGGGGAACCTGATGGGGAACCTGATGGCGAACCTGATGGCGAACCTGATGGCGAACCTGATGGCGAACCTGATGGCGAACCTGATGGCGAACCTGATGGCGAACCTGATGGCGAACCTGATGGGGAACCTGATGGCCAACCTGATGGCCAACCTGATGGGGAACCTGATGGCGAACCTGATGGCGAACCTGATGGCGAACCTGATGGCGAACCTGATGGCGAACCTGATGGCGAACCTGATGGGGAACCTGATGGGGAACCTGATGGGGAACCTGATGGGGAACCTGATGGCGAACCTGATGGCGAACCTGATGGCGAACCTGATGGCGAACCTGATGGCGAACCTGATGGCGAACCTGATGGCGAACCTGATGGCGAACCTGATGGCGAACCTGATGGCGAACCTGATGGCGAACCTGATGGCGAACCTGATGGCGAACCTGATGGCGAACCTGATGGGGAACCTGATGGCGAACCTGATGGCGAACCTGATGGGGAACCTGATGGGGAACCTGATGGGGAACCTGATGGGGAACCTGATGCGGAACTTGATGGGGAACCTGATGGGGAACCTGATGGCGAGCCTGATGGCGAACATGATGGCGAACCTGATGGCGAACCTGATGGCGAACCTGATGGCGAACCTGATGGCGAACCTGATGGCCAACCTGATGGCGAACCTGATGGCGAACCTGAAGGCGAACCTGATGGCGAACCTGATGGCGAACCTGATGGGGAACCTGATGGGGAACCTGATGGGGAACCTGATGGGGAACCTGATGGGGAACCTGATGGCGAACCTGATGGCGAACCTGATGGCGAACCTGATGGCGAACCTGATGGCGAACCTGATGGCGAACCTGATGGCGAACCTGATGGCGAACCTGATGGCGAACCTGATGGCGAACCTGATGGCGAACCTGATGGGGAACCTGATGGGGAACCTGATGGCGAACCTGATGGCGAACCTGATGGCGAACCTGATGGGGAACCTGATGGGGAACCTGATGGCGAACCTGATGGCGAACCTGATGGCGAACCTGATGGCGAACCTGATGGCGAACCTGATGGCGAACCTGATGGCGAACCTGATGGCGAACCTGATGGCGAACCTGATGGCGAACCTGATGGCGAACCTGATGGCGAACCTGATGGCGAACCTGATGGCGAACCTGATGGCGAACCTGATGGCGAACCTGATGGCGAACCTGATGGCGAACCTGATGGCGAACCTGATGGCGAACCTGATGGCGAACCTGATGGCGAACCTGATGGGGAACCTGATGGCGAACCTGATGGCGAACCTGATGGCGAACCTGATGGCGAACCTGATGGCGAACCTGATGGCGAACCTGATGGCGAACCTGATGGCGAACCTGATGGCGAACCTGATGGGGAACCTGATGGCGAACCTGATGGCGAACCTGATGGCGAACCTGATGGCGAACCTGATGGCGAACCTGATGGCGAACCTGATGGCGAACCTGATGGCGAACCTGATGGCGAACCTGATGGGGAACCTGATGGGGAACCTGATGGGGAACCTGATGGCGAACCTGATGGCGAAACTGATGGCGAACCTGATGGCGAACTTGATGGCGAACCTGATGGGGAACCTGATGGGGAACCTGATGGCGAACCTGATGGCGAACCTGATGGCGAACCTGATGGCGAACCTGATGGCGAACCTGATGGCGAACCTGATGGCGAACCTGATGGGAACCTGATGGGGAACCTGATGGGGAACCTGATGGGGAACCTGATGGGAACCTGATGGGGAACCTGATGGCCAACCTGATGGCCAACCTGATGGCCAACCTGATGGCGAACCTGATGGCGAACCTGATGGCGAACCTGATGGCGAACCTGATGGCGAACCTGATGGCGAACCTGATGGCGAACCTGATGGCGAACCTGATGGGGAACCTGATGGGGAACCTGATGGGGAACCTGATGGGGAACCTGATGGGGAACCTCATGGCGAACCTGATGGCGAACCTGATGGCGAACCTGATGGCGAACCTGATGGGGAACCTGTATGGGGAACCTGTATGGGGAACCTCATGGGGAACCTCATGGGGAAACTGATGGCGAACCTGATGGCGAACCTGATGGCGAACCTGATGGCGAACCTGATGGCGAACCTGATGGCGAACCTGATGGCGAACCTGATGGGGAACCTGATGGCGAACCTGATGGCGAACCTGATGGCGAACCTGATGGCGAACCTGATGGCGAACCTGATGGCGAACCTGATGGCGAACCTGATGGCGAACCTGATGGGGAACCTGATGGCCAACCTGATGGCCAACCTGATGGCCAACCTGATGGCCAACCTGATGGCGAACCTGATGGCGAACCTGATGGCGAACCTGATGGCGAACCTGATGGCGAACCTGATGGCGAACCTGATGGCGAACCTGATGGCGAACCTGATGGCGAACCTGATGGCGAACCTGATGGCGAACCTGATGGGGAACCTGATGGGGAACCTGATGGCGAACCTGATGGCGAACCTGATGGCGAACCTGATGGGGAACCTGATGGGGAACCTGATGGGGAACCTGATGGGGAACCTGATGGGGAACCTGATGGGGAACCTGATGGGGAACCTGATGGGGAATCTGATGGCGAACCTGATGGGGAACCTGATGGGGAACCTGATGGCGAACCTGATGGCGAACCTGATGGCGAACCTGATGGGGAACCTGATGGGGAACCTGATGGGGAACCTGATGGCGAACCTGATGGCGAACCTGATGGCGAACCTGATGGCGAACCTGATGGGGAACCTGATGGCGAACCTGATGGCGAACCTGATGGCGAACCTGATGGCGAACCTGATGGCGAACCTGATGGCGAACCTGATGGCGAACCTGATGGGGAACCTGATGGCGAACCTGATGGCGAACCTGATGGGGAACCTGATGGGGAACCTGATGGCGAACCTGATGGCGAACCTGGTGGGGAACCTGATGGGGAACCTGATGGGGAACCTGATGGCGAACCTGATGGCGAACCTGATGCGGAACCAGATGGGGAACCAGATGGGGAACCTGATGGGGAACCTGATGGGGAACCTGATGGCGAACCTGATGGCGAACCTGATGGCGAACCTGACGGCCAACCTGACGGCCAACCTGACGGCCAACCTGATGGCCAACCTGATGGCGAACCTGATGGCGAACCTGATGGCGAACCTGATGGCGAACCTGATGGCGAACCTGATGGCGAACCTGATGGGGAACCTGATGGGGAACCTGATGGGGAACCTGATGGGGAACCTGATGGCGAACCTGATGGCGAACCTGATGGCGAACCTGATGGCGAACCTGATGGCGAACCTGATGGCGAACCTGATGGCGAACCTGATGGCGAACCTGATGGCGAACCTGATGGCGAACCTGATGGGGAACCTGATGGGGAACCTGATGGGGAACCTGATGGGGAACCTGATGGGGAACCTGATGGCGAACCTGATGGCGAACCTGATGGCGAACCTGATGGCGAACCTGATGGCGAACCTGATGGGGAACCTGATGGGGAACCTGATGGGGAACCTGATGGGGAACTTGATGGCGAACCTGATGGCGAACCTGATGGCGAACCTGATGGCGAACCTGATGGCGAACCTGATGGCGAACCTGATGGCGAACCTGATGGCGAACCTGATGGCGAACCTGATGGCGAACCTGATGGCGAACCTGATGGGGAACCTGATCGCGAACCTGATGGCGAACCTGATGGCGAACCTGATGGGGAACCTGATGGGGAACCTGATGGGGAACCTGATGGGGAACCTGATGCGGAACCTGATGGGGAACCTGATGGCGAGCCTGATGGCGAACCTGATGGCGAACCTGATGGCGAACCTGATGGCGAACCTGATGGCGAACCTGATGGCCAACCTGATGGCCAACCTGATGGCGAACCTGATGGCGAACCTGATGGCGAACCTGATGGCGAACCTGATGGCGAACCTGATGGCGAACCTGATGGCGAACCTGATGGCGAACCTGATGGCGAACCTGATGGCGAACCTGATGGCGAACCTGATGGGGAACCTGATGGGGAACCTGATGGGGAACCTGATGGGGAACCTGATGCGGAACCTGATGGGGAACCTGATGGGGAACCTGATGGCGAGCCTGATGGCGAACCTGATGGCGAACCTGATGGCGAACCTGATGGCGAACCTGATGGCGAACCTGATGGCGAACCTGATGGCCAACCTGATGGCCAACCTGATGACGAACCTGATGGCGAACCTGAAGGCGAACCTGAAGGCGAACCTGATGGCGAACCTGATGGCGAACCTGATGGGGAACCTGATGGGGAACCTGATGGGGAACCTGATGGGGAACCTGATGGGGAACCTGATGGCGAACCTGATGGCGAACCTGATGGCGAACCTGATGGCGAACCTGATGGCGAACCTGATGGCGAACCTGATGGCGAACCTGATGGCGAACCTGATGGCGAACCTGATGGCGAACCTGATGGCGAACCTGATGGCGAACCTGATGGGGAACCTGATGGGGAACCTGATGGGGAACCTGATGGCGAACCTGATGGCGAACCTGATGGCGAACCTGATGGCGAACCTGATGGCGAACCTGATGGGGAACCTGATGGCGAACCTGATGGCGAACCTGATGGCGAACCTGATGGGGAACCTGATGGGGAACCTGATGGGGAACCTGATGGGGAACCTGATGCGGAACCTGATGGGGAACCTGATGGGGAACCTGATGGCGAGCCTGATGGCGAACCTGATGGCGAACCTGATGGCGAACCTGATGGCGAACCTGATGGGGAACCTGATGGGGAACCTGATGGGGAACCCACCTATGACCATCGACTTCCAGTGCACACGCCCCCATCTGCGACTGCATCCCACTCTACCCCAGTGAACCCCATTGCACCCCACCGCGCCCCACCTGGCACCAGCGGGCGTGGCTGCAGGGGCGGTTGACGGGGCGCCACACATGTGCCATCCCACACTCAGTGCATGCCACCGGCCGGCCCCCCTCCTCCTCCTCGCCCCCTGCTGGCCCCCCTGCCTTCCCTGCTGCCCCGCCCATTCCCCGTGCTGCCGCCCTGCCAGCTGTTGTGCTGCTCGTCTGCACCCCCACAACGAGATGTGGCAGGTTCAATGGAATGGGGAGGGGGAGAGGGAGCGGGTTGGGAGAGGGGGCGGGTTGGGAGAGGAGAAGCAGCAGTGTTGAGTGACTGCACGGATGAGGTACGTCCATCCGCCAACTCCGCTTCCTACCACCACGCCTTCCTCACCTGCTCCCTCGCCTCCTGCCACCACCATACATACAGCACCCTATCAGCCCCCCCCCTTGTTCCTATCATTTCTGATCTGCCTACTACTCCATGGTTAGCCACAGCCCCAATGCTAAGCTAACTTGCCATCAGCCCAAACTACACTGGACTGCTGTATCGCACTGACCTGCCACGTCAGCACGGACCTGCCACGTCAGCACGGACCTGCCACATGTGTGCAGCCCTGCGTGTGATGAGCTCCACGAGCTGCTCGCGCCTCAGCTCGCCCTCGTACTCTCGCTGCCTCCCCTCGTCTGATAGCACCTGCCCACCACCACCGGCCCCACCGCCCCACACACACGCACGCACACATACACACATGCACACACGCACGCACGCACACACGCACACATACCCATACAAACACGTGCGCGCGCACAAACACACAACAGCGTTGAAGTGCAAGCAAAAGGAGAAGGGAGGGGATGCGATAGAGCACATACGGTGGCGTGCACAGGTGGTCAGTTAGTCATTTGTGAAGAGCGCACATGCTGTACCTCGTATGCACTCTGCAGGCGTTGAAACGCCACTATGGCATTCTTCTCGTCCCCCCCATGCTTGTCCGGATGCACTAGCATTGCCTGCACGTCACATGCACAGGCACAGGCACAGGCACAGGCACATGCGAACATGCACATGCACACGCACACGCAGCACACACATCATCACCACTGCTATGGTCAGCTGACCCATACTTCCCACAAAGCACTCCCCACTTTTTTCAAGCCTCATCCCGTTCCCTTCCCATCCTTGTTTCCTTCCCTGAACCCCTTCCCAAGTAACCTTCTCCCTATGCGCCCCTTTCCCCTTCCCCCTCCCCCACTCCACCTCCCCCCAGCCCCCACCATGCGGCGGTATTCCTTCTTCAGGGCGCCCTCATCCACGGCCGGGCAGAAGGGCGCCAGGCGAAGCACCTCGTAGTGGTTGCTGCACCGCACTATGCGCTCTATCTCCCCGCCCCCACTCGCCTCTCCCCCGGCCCCCGCTCCCCCTGCCAACCCCGCTTCCCCCTCCCCTGCCGCTCCCCCCACCCCTCCCGGCTTCTTCCCCCCAGCAGTGCTTGCTTGGGACTGGTTCGGGGGGGAGGAGTCGGGCTGGGCGGGGTCGTCTTGGAGGGAGGAGGCGAGGAGGAGCAGCAGGTCGGCGGCGAGGAAGGAGGCGAGCAGCGTGAGGCACAGCGTGGTGAGCCCTGCGCGCACCACCACGTGGTACACCGTCGATGCCACCAGCAGCAGTAATGCCGCCCGGGGGGACCCGCTCGCCGCCACTATCCCTGGTGGACGGACGGCCCGGGAGAGAGGGGGGGGGGAGGGGGGGGGGGCGAGGAAATAGGCGAACAGCGTGAGGCAGAGCGTGGTGAGCCCTGCGCGCACCACCACGTGGTACACTGTGGACGCCACCAGCAGCAGTAATGCCGCTCGAGGAGACCCGCTCGCCGCCACTATACCTGGTGGACGGACGGGGGTATGGAGGGCGGAGGGGGGCGGGGCCGAGGGAGAAAGGTGGTGTTAAGGGAGTTGAGGGGGAAGGTGAGCAGGACAGGTGGAGAAAGGGGAGGCAGGCGAGGCATGAGTGTGAGTGTGTGTGGGCAGGAAAGGGGAACAGTTGGTGTTTAAACATTTTAACGAACACCTGAGAAAGTTGCTCTGAATGGGGGAAACCTACCGGCTGTGAGGGCGGCGCTGACCTGCTGTGAGGGCGGCGCTGACCTGCTGTGAGGGCGGCGCTGACCTGCTGTGAGGGCGGCGCTGACCTGCTGTGAGGGCGGCGCTGACCTGCTGTGAGGGCGGAACCTACCAGCTGTGAGGGCGGTGGCGAGGGCGAAGAGCAGCAGCTTGGCGCGCAGTGCTGTGAAGAGCGCCAGCAGCACCAGCAGCGCCAGTGTGAGCAGCAGCGGCAGGAAGAAGGACAGCAGCACCAGCACCACCTGCTCACCGCAGCCGATGGGAGGCGGCGGGTGCGGAGGGGAGGGGCGCAGGGGGGGAAAGGGGAAAAAGTGGGGGAAAAGCAGGTGGGGTGGGTGGCGTGAAGGGAGCAGTCACGTGGGGATGACGACGATCGGAGTGGCAGGGAGGGTGCACGCACAAGGAGGGGGTGGATGGAAGGGGGTGGGAGAGGGGGTGGGCGACGGGGTGGGCGCGGGGGCGGGCAAAGATGCAGGCCAGGGGGTGCGCGAGGGGGTGCTCGAGGGGGCGGGCGAGGGGGGTGCGTACGAGGGAGGGCAGCAGCACGAGCCAGCCGAGGGTGCGACCCATGCCCACCAGCGCGCCCACCAGTGGCAGCACCGCCGACCCCAGCGACGGCGGCACCAGCGACGCGCACCCGCGGATCACGAACGCCGCCGCCGCAACCGCCGCCCACAAGCCCGCCGCCGCCGCCAACCGCGCTGCAGCCCCCGCCACGCGCCACGCGACCGCGCAGTATCGGCCTGCTCGCTCCGCGAACGCGCTCCCCGCGCTCTCACGTCGCGCCCATGGGGGGAAGCCGTTTGCGGGGCCCCTATTGTGCCATTGTGGTGACGCCGATCGTGGCGACGCTGACGACGCGCCGTGCGACGCGCTATGCGACGATGCTGCTCGCGACGAGGCGGCGTGCGGTCGTTTCCCCGAGGCCCGGGCGGGACCTCTCCGCGCCTCGTCCCTCGCCATGACGCGGCGCACCCAGCAGGGGGACTCGCGGCGGCGATTGCGGCGGCAATTGCGCGGTCTAGGGCCCAGCTACGAAGGCATCTTGCGCGGCCGCGCAAGGAGAGACGGGAGAGCACAAAATCAAACGGCGTTATAAGCTGACTCGGAGAACGGTGGGGCTCGATTGTGTCTTGGAGGAGTGGCGGGAAACGCGCGCGTAAACTAAACTGAGTGGTGGGATGGCCACTAACGGCACAAAGCGTGTTCTTTAGGAACTCCCATAGAGGCTCTTGACAAAGAACGGGTCAACGCATGCTCTACATTCAGACTATTGCTGTTACACTGTACGCAGTATAAGTTGAGAAAGTATGTTAACAGAAGATAGAATGGTGCCGGAATTTTATTTACAACTTTCCAAGAGTTGATTGCATTCGGCTGTAAATTTTTACTATAATAAATAGATCAATCCGACCCACTAAAATTGAGCATGGACATTTGCATCAGCAAGACAGTTTCTGCACTCCCTACTGCCATTCCCACTTGGAGCAGCAAGTCTTAGGCACACAGTCAGCATGGCATCCAGCAGATGCCGGCACGCCATGCCCTCTGCTGCACCCTCACCACCACTGCTCACCGAGCAGCACCGCTCACCCCTGCAACATCCTGCATCCCCCACCAGCTCTCCCGCCTGTGACCCCTCACCAAACTCCCCGTGCACGTCCCCTGACTCCCCTCGCCGCTCCTCCACCGCTTCCTTATCTGCCCGTGTTTCCACTCCGTGCCGCCGCTGCAGCTCCTCCAGCAGCAGATGCGCCACCCCACATGCCGACGCCGCCACCCGATGCACGTGCCGCTGCACCCGTGACCCACATCGCCCCTGCCCTGCCACGTGGCAGTCTTGCATTGGCTCTGGGACTGCAGCAGCAAGGCATGTATGTGCGTGCAGACTGTGCTGCAAGGGCTGTGAGTTGGTCTTATGTCCTCCGTGTGGGCACAGGGTCTTCTCTTGCTCTGACTCACAGACTTCCATCCCCTGCTGCCCTCTGCTTTCCTCCTCCGTAACCCCCGTCACCTCCATTCCATCCCCTCCGCAACCCCCTTCCTTTTCCCGCTCTTGTCCTCGCGTCTCCCCTACTCTCACGGCCATCTCACACCCTTCATCACCCCCACGCCCCTCTTCGCCCTCACATCCGCTGTGCCTGCGGATCCTCTCATCGCCCCCTGTCACCTGCACTGCAGTAAACACCTTCCCCAGCTGAAACGCCCCCATACCCACTCCCCTCATGCTCCCACCCCCTCCACCAACGCCCCTCGTGCCACCGCCACCATATTTCTCCACTACCCGTCCTGCCCCTACCTGGGAAGTAAGGGGCATTGGCGGACTGTGTGGTTGAGAGGGCTGGAGAAGGGAGGGAGTGTGGGTAGCAGGGAGGAGAGAGGAGTGGGAGAGGCCCGACGGGAGAGTGGCGAATGAAAAGCGTGAGGAGAGATGCGGAGGGGCGAGAGAGCGGTGGTGGTGGGGGTGAGTGAGGGAGGGAGGGCAAGAGGGAGTGAGTGGTGGGGAGGATGGTGATGGTGACGGTGTGTGTGGCTGCTGGGTGGTGCCTTGAGAGGTGTGTGAGGGAGGGAGGGGGGAGGTGGCAACAGTAGGGGTGGTGGGAAGGGTGGAAGGCGGCAGCAGTGGTGCCAAAGCAGCAGCAGGTGCAGGCACAGCAGTGGGTGAGGCTCGGAAGCGAGGGCGTCGGTCAACGTGGCAGGCGAGGGTCCCGAGCTGGCTCATGTTCCCACCAGCACTTCCAGCAGCAGCATCAGCATCACCACCACCATAATCACCCCCATCATCACGGCAGGCCTCGTACTGCCTCTTCCTGCTGCTGGGCCCCGCTGCACTGCATGGCACGGGGTCACCCCCAACAGACGCCTCCACAGGTATGCCCCTAGCATGCCTGCTGTCACTGCCACCATCCCCCCTGGCCGCATGGCTGATGCTGGCACCAGTCTGGCTGGCAACAGGCAGGACGTCACACTGTGGCAGGGGCGGAGGGAGAGCGCATGCTGTGGAGGTGTGTGGCTCAGGGGCACACAACCCACCCACCTCTTCCATCCCTCCCACTCCTTCCATCCGATCCTCCCCCTCCGCCACTTCCTGCTTCACTCCTCTCTCCCCTCTTCTCGCCTCACTCGCCCTCCACTCCCCTACCCTCGCCTCCCCACACCCTACCTGCTGCACTGTCTCCCGTTCCCCTGCTCCCTGCACCGTCTGCTGCTCCCCATCCCCCCGCTCCTCACTCTCCTCTGCCATTTCTTCCGTCCTCTCGTCTCCCTCACTTACTCCTACCTCCCTCCCCATAATTCCCGCCTCCTCATCGTCACTTTCATCATCCCTCGCCCTCTCTCCCTCTCCTGCCTCCCCCACGCCCTCTCCTTCTTTCCCCTCCCCTTCTCCCCTCACCATTCCTTCCTCGTCCTCCCCTCGCCCCTCCCCCTCTCCCCCCTCCCCCCCTCGCCCCCGCGCCTCTCTTTCGCGCCACTCCCTCTCCACGGCCTGCAGCAGCGCCGCATTCCCAAAGGGGAACCTTCCAGGATCTTGCGGATGCGCCCCACGCCCTCCTCCTCCCGCACTCGCTCCACCTCCTCCACCAGAGCCGCCACGCCCCTCGCCTGCACGCCCGCCACAAACCGCACCGCACGCTCGTACGCGCCTTCTCTGCCTTGCGGTTGTCCGTTAGTAGCAAGGGCAGGCGTGTGGGAGGGCGGAGGGGAAGGATGGGGCTGCCCCGGTGCAGGGTGGGAGGGGGAGGCAGAGTGTAGGGAGGCGGACGAGGGGCCGGGAGTGGGCGCAGAGAGGCCGCGCAGGAGGGGGTACTTGCGGCGCATGGCGGAGTTCCAATAGTTCTTTATGGCGTTGTCCGTGCTGTTGGGGGGGGAGAGCGTGAGGGGGAAGCGGGGGAAGAGAGGGTTCCATAGGTGTGAGTAAGGAGGAGTATATCAGAGGGTGTTGTGTGGGGGAAGGGAGGGATGCATGTGGAGTTGTGGAGAGGTGAGGAGAGAGAAGCGGAATAGACAGCGGGTGGCAGAGTAAACGGTGTTGAGGGCAGGAGGCACGCACCGTCCCGGAAGGTTCTTGGCGATGAGCGCCCACTTGTTGCCGTGGATGGCATGTGCTGTGATGATGCGCGCATCCTCGTCCACTGTGAACTGGCCTCGCCTTAACGCCGGGTCCAGCTGGTTGCACCACCTGGTGTGATGCAGGGAAGAGGGAGGGATGGAGGAGGGAGGGAGGGATGGAGGGAGAAAGGGAGGAGGAGGGAGGGAGGGACGGAGAGATGGAGTTAGGGAGGGAGGGGGTTGTGCGTGATGCATCCGACATCGACTTGGAAAAGAAGAGCTAAGGGACACAGAACCAGGAAACAATCAACAAGTCTTCACTGCAAAGAAAGGTGAACCAGATTCAGCACATTAAAAATCACCCCTGTGTTCCCACTCATCCCAGCACATCACATCACCGCAAAGCACCGCGTGACGCACCTGAGTCTACAGCTCTTCCCCGGCTGGCCAGGGATGCCAGCAGCGATGGCGTTCCAGTTCTTCGCCCCGTGCACTGCCCCCAGCGCATCTCACCCCAACTTACCGCACTGCACCGCACTGCACCATGTGACACACCTGAGTCTACAGCTCTTCCCGGGTCGGCCAGGGATGCCAGCAGCGATGGCACTCCAGTTCTTCGCCCCATGCACCGCCACCAGTGCCGCCAGCCGCTCATCCTCCTCCGCCGTCCATGCCCCCCTGTTCACCGCCGCTGCTCCCCCCCGCCCTCCGCCACTCCGCCTCCTCTGCTCCTTCTCCCCGTCCTCCTCCCCCTCCCCGCCCCCCCTGCTCCCCCGATCCTGCTCCCCTATCAGCCCTCCGCTCGCCTCGCTGCTGCTGCCGCCTCCCCTCTCCTCTGCCACCTCCCCCCTCCTCTCCGCCCCCTCCATCCGCCCCTCCATCGCCCCCTCGCCACCGTCGCTACCGTCACCGCTGTCCGCCTCCCCTTCCTTGCCGGCTCCCCCACGACCTCGCGCATTCTCTGCCCCCGTATCCACATCCGCCGCTCTTGCCCGCGCCTTGGTTCCCCTGGAAGCCGCGCCATGCGCCCCCAAATTGGCGGAGAGCAGCGGGCGCGCGCTGCTGGCGGGGGATGCTCCCCTGATCGCCTCCTCGCACGATTGCTCCCCCTGCCGCTCCCCCTGCCGCTCCTGCGCCCGGCTGGCGTCTGGTGCTCGTCCAATTCCCGCCGGCAGCACCAACCGCAACGGGCCCCCCGGCTTGGCGGGGGTGGATTTGCCGACGAGGGGGGAGGGGGAGGGGCGCGCGGAGAGGGCTGCGAGCGGAAGGAATCTGGGGACAGTGCGCATGGCGCTGGGCTCCGCCGCCGGGTTGGCGGCGGAATCGTCCGGATGTGATGCGGGGGTTGGCTGTGCAGGCAGCGCAGTGGCGCGGGTGAGCGGAGCCATTGCGGGTGATGCGCGGAGGTTAGAAATAGCAGCTCACAAGCGCAAAGGTCTGAACACGTCTGAACGCGTGCAAGAATGTGCTAGCGATGCTAAAGCTAGTAGTGGTGTGGGTGGATGAGCGTACTGGGTGGTTAATTGCTGCTCTCAGATGCTCGCACGCGAACGGAGAGGTCCACTACAGGGCTGCGGCGGTTAGCCATCCCTGTGCAGCGGAGTGGTTGCGCGCAACTTGAGCGCGGAATCCAGCATCCCTCGCCTCCCCTAACTGCAAGGTCCGTAAATGCTTGAAGCATCGTGACTGCTGCGCCAAGCTACCGCTAACACGTTGGAGGTGGAGTCACATGAACGGAACCGTTTCGCTTCACCTCTGAGTGAGGGGTTCGCGCAACAAGCGTGACCGCTCGGTTCCGCTGCTAGATCTGCGCTCGCTCGCTCCCCAAAAGCTTCTTGCATCCGCTCGTTGAACGCGCGGCCGATGTCGTTGGGGAAAGCGAGGAGACGAAACGTCTCGTTCTGGCTTTCTGTGGGCATCGCAGGCGTAACAGATGGCGGTTAGAAGACGAAACGGCACTTCCTCGTTACGAGGTTTGCGGACCCAGAAAGCTGAAAACAATCTGAGTGCACACTCCGTGTGTAATCGGTGTAAATTGCTAACAAGCGATTTCTTCTATGTGTCAAAAACTCTTGCGCAATAGGCAACGCGTTCGTGGAGTGTAGTTATTGAAGGTATATTCCCTTGGGTCTGGTGTGGCCAGTTTCCAAGGCAGACAGTTCTCAAGGCAAAGCAGTTCCCAGGGCAAACTTGTTCCCAACACAGCCCAGTTCCCGAAGCAATTTTGCCCTGGTTGTTCCCCTGGTTGTTCCCGTCTCCTGGTTGTTCCAGTGAAGGTGCTTCCAAGCCCAAGGCAGCACGGCATCATTCCCACGCAGCACATCTCGCTCGAGGTCAGGCCCGAGCGCGTGCGCCGGCCCACCGTCACTGCCTGACGGACCACCACCACCATCCTCCATATCTCCTCGCTGCTTCACGCCATTCTTAAAGCTGCATTGCGAATTCGCTCGTCTTCGCTCGTCTTCGCTCGCGAGCAGCGGCGCGTAGTTGCCGGCGACACCCAGACGGACCCACGCGAGACAGAAGTTCGCAGCGGCAGGCATGGCGGGAGGGGCGGAGGCGGCGAGCGATGTGACGGTCCACGTCACCACGCCGCTGTTGCCGCGCGAGGTACGGCGCAGCGCGAAGGGGCATGCGTCGTGATGAGCCAGAAATGTGCGCATTGCAGTTCATGATGAATCTGTCTTCTTGCGCGGCTCTGCTTCCGCATTCCTCCCAGTATCCCCTACATTCCCTCCTCTTCACCTCGTTGCATCACCGTCGCCTCTCCTCAGGTTTCTGCTCCCGCAAGACACATGACGCTCAGCGATGGGAGCCCTTCAACGCCGCATTCCCCGGGTGCACGTCGCATCGCTGCAGCTGCAAGGATCGCCGCTGTCGTCGGGTGCGTCGCTCTGCTCGCCGCGCTCTGCCTCCTCGAGCCGCGCCGAGCTGGCCTTGCGACACGCGCTGATGGTGCCGCCGAAAGCAGCAGCAGCAGCAGCAGCAGCGCGGCTGTTCGTTTCTTCGCATTCGGCGACTGGGGTCGCAACGGGACCTTCAACCAATCGCTCATCGCACAGCAGGTGCGACGCACACCCTTTCTCATCGTCCCTTGCGCTGTGATCACACCCCATCCACACACACCTCTCTTGCAATGCAATGCACCCATCTGTCCTTGTACGCCTGTGCGGTCCAGATGGGTGCAGTGGGGCAGCAAATGGCGCCGCAGTTCGTGGTGTCGGTGGGTGACAACTTCTACGACGAGGGGCTGACAGACGTGAACGACGACGAGTTCGCGCGCTCCTTCACCAACATCTACACGCACCGCACCCTGCAGATCCCCTGGTATGCAGGTACGCCAACTTCATTCCCTCCCTCCCTCTCTTTATCGCTCCCTTCCCCTCCGCTTCTCACGCTTTGTCGCACTTTCACGCTCAGACGCACACACAAGGGGCACACTGCTCACCGCCTGCCACATCACACCGCTCCTTTCTTCCAACCCCCTCCCCCCTTTCCCTGCCCCATCCCGCCACCAGTGCTGGGCAACCACGACTACTACGGCAACGCCCTCGCTCAGCTACACCCTGCGTTCGCAAACAGGGACCCACGCCTTTTGAGACATCTCAAAAGTATCTCCCGCCTCATCCCCCCCTCCTCCAGTGCTGGGAAACCACGACTACTATGGCAACACTCTCGCGCAGCTGCACCCAGCGCTCGCCAACAGGGACCCGCGCTGGGTGTGCCGCCGCAGCATGGCGCTCTCCCTGCCGCTCTGCCCGTCCGCCAGCGTTGACTGCGTTGACCTGGTTGACCTGTTCCTGTACGACACCACGCCCCTCGTGCCCGCGTACCGCCACAAGAAGGGGCGGCGCGTGGACTGGCGCGGACTCAACTCCGCCAACTGGACGCAGCAGGAAGCGGCACAGCTGCAGGTGAGAGGATTCTTGAGGCGCAGGTGAGGGGGGGAAGTCACCTGCTGCTGCGCTGCCCCCTACCACGCCCCTCGTCCCTGCGCACCGCCACAAGCAGGGGCGGCACATGGACTGGCGCGGACTCAACACCGCCAACTGGACTCAGCAGGAGGCCGCGTAGCTGCAGGTGAGGGGAAAGGCACCTGCTGTTGCGCTGCCTCCTGCCACGTTGCCTACAGCATGGCACCATCACAGCTTCCCCGAGGCTCTTGATACCGTTGCAACTCCCCCATTCCCGACCCCCCTACACTCTATGTGCTACTTTCTGCGGATCACAGCTCGCTGCCTCCACCATCTCACATGCCTTACGACCTCTCCCCCCCTCCCCTTCCCCACCCACCCCTGCACTCTCCTCTCTCCCCTCCCAAACCTTGCTGCAGGAGCTGGAGGGGTGGCTGGGCAACTCGCGGGCGCGGTGGAAGGTGGTGGTGGGGCACCACCCGGTGTTCAGCTACGGGCACCACGGCGACCAGCAGGAGATGATCCACCGCGTCAAGCCACTGCTCGAGGTGAGAGGAAGGGCTGTGCCAGTTTGCTGCAGGTGGGAGGGAATGCAGTCAGTGCTGCTGGTGGATTGGTGGGTGGCTTGGAGGGTTGGCAGTCAGCGTCTCACCAGGTTGAGTAGATGCATAGATGATTCACCTCTCTGTGCATGTGCTCACGCATGTCTAAGTGCTGCGCTTTGAATCACCTGTTTCCCTTCCATTCTCCCCCACCATTACACACCAGCGCTACAGAGTGGACGCATATCTGAACGGCCACGACCACGACATGCAGCATGTGAAGAGGGATGACAGGTACTGGTACTAGTGCATGCATTCTTGCACGCTTCTCTGCCTTTCCACCATAGACTTACATATCTGCACCAAGAAAATACCTCATTGCGTTCTTTCCGCCTTGTCCTCACCTTCTCACCGTTCAACCCTCTCCCCTCGCATTCCACCTCATTTCTCTTCTTTTCCCCTTTCCCTTCCGCCCTCTTCTCCTGCCACTCCAGTCCAGTGCACTATTTCACGGTGGGAGGCGGTTCCAAGGCATGGCGCAGCGACGCCCCCTCAGAAGCCCCCGGGCTGCGCTTCTACTTCCCAGGCCAGGGCTTCAGTGCCCTGCAAGTGGACAGAGACCACCTCTCAGTCACCTTCTATGGCGTGGACGGCCAACAAATGTACTCCACCACTCTGGAAAAATGAGGGCTCTCATCAGGTGTCCCAGGGCTGTGCGTCTACTTCCCAGGCCAGGGCTTCAGCGCACTCTAAGTGGACGGGGACAGACTCTCCGTCGCCTTCTATGGTGTGGACGGCCAGCAAATGTACTCCACTACTTTGAGGAAATGAGCGAACCGCCAGGGGTTTAGCGCACTGCATGTGGACGGGGACCAGACCACCTCTCAATCACCTACTATGGCGTGGATGCCCAGCAGATGTACTCTGCAACCCTCTGGTGTGGAGGTTCCTGGCAGTTGCAAGGCTGTTCAAACTCATTGTCATGTGTGCCAGCTAAGCTTATATGTTTATTTCGTCAGCCTAAGTTTTCTGCTCAGTGCAGTCCGTCTGTGGCCTGTCACCTCGGAGCCCTGGACTCCCACCAGGGAAGGGAGCCAATGCAAGCTCTTCACAACACATGTGATGTGCAGACCTACTCAATTCAAATGGAGAGAAACAACTAGGAATAGGGGTGTGCGCGTTGGGAAAAGGATTTGGTAGCTGGGCGACCACAGCTTTCCACTGTTCAAGCCTTGAGTCGCTTGGCATCCGCGTCCGGCACACTCGCATCGTCCTCCCCCGCCTGCATGCAACCAGGCCAGCACCGCACCGCACCGCACGTGAACGCTCACGAGGTGAATAAGGGCAGGTCGCGTTGACAAAGGTCATAAGCATGCTGAGAGAATATTGGCTGGTAGTTGGAAGTGCGGGTTGACAGGAGTTGACAGGGCAGGCCACTGTGGAACACTTGGAACGCAGTCAAGGACGGTGTACTGGTAGCATGGCATTTCAACCCCCCACTCACCATCAGAGCCATCCGAGTGACCACTCACACAACTGAGGTGTACGTTTCTCCTTTCCCCCCCTTTTCCCCCCGTCCCGCCCACACCACCCACCCTCTCACCTTCTCCCCCGGCACGACGGCGTAGCGCTCAGCAGGAGACACCCACGTGGCCGCGGCATCCGGCACCTCCGCATGCGCTGCTGCTGCCACGTCCTTCTTGCCGCCCGGCCCGCTGATGTGGCGACACCTGTCACCGTCCGCGCTTATCGCCTCCACTCGCTTGGGCAGGTTCCTGGAAAGTGGGCAGGGGGAATAGAGTGCATGCAGGCATGAGGGACAGCCGCCAAAAGACTTGTCTGCAGCACTTCCCTGCACGCAGGGCTATGGCGTATGGTGCACACACATGGGGCATGGAACACAGCACATGCACAGACGGGATCGGCCGGGCCTGAGATGATACCCCATCGGCCACAGAGCTAGCCGGTTCATGATAGTGCCAAGCCATGCGGATTCTGAAGCGTCTCAGCATACAGCAGCAGCCGCACTCCCCCGCCTGTCCTCAGCATACAACACATGCACCCACCTGTCCGTGGTATCACCATGGCCCAGCTGCCCACTAGTGGCTCGCCCCCACGAGTACACGTTGCCGCCCTCACTCAACACCACCGTGTGCCGCCACCCACACGCCACCGCCACCACCCGCTGCCATCACAGGATTTTTTTAAGAAGGGGAGGGGGAGGAGGGGAAACGAGGTGGGGCACAGAGGAAGGGAAGGAGGTGGAGAGAGCAGGGGAGAGGAGGTCTACGTGGGGTGTGTGGTACGAGTGCCGCAAGTAGAGCATGGAGCAACGCCTGGCAAAGCAACCCATTTATCTTGAACGTTTGTAATCTTTCCCACCCGCCCGCCCCTTTCCTCCCTCCCAACCCAAGAAACACCCAGCTGACCTCGGAAATGCTTTCTATCCGCTGCGGCGAGCACTGGTCCTCCGAGTTGCCCACTCCCACCTGCCCGAACTGATGGGTGGAGGGGAAGAGGTGTGGCAGAGACGAGCAGGAGGTGTGCAGAGACGGGAGTGCAGAGAGGACAAGAGAGGTGAAGAGGGTGGTGGTGGGAATGACATAAGAAGGGATGGGGGAAAGTATAAGACAAGAGCGCTGGCTATGTGGAAGGTCAGAAGACCAGACCAGGATCAAACACTCTCTCCCACCACTTGCTCCCTCTCACTCTCTCTCACTCCCTCTCACTCCTCGCTCCCACCACTTGCTCCCTCTCACCCCTTACATGTTCCACGAGACCCACTCACTCTGTTCCATCCCCAAGCGTACACCACACCATCTGCATCCAGAGCAACTGAGTGCCGCCACCCTCCTGACACCTGCTTGCACCGCAGAGGGGCAGAGGAGGAAGAAAGGAAGGGCGGCAGGCAGTGAGACAAAACGCCGCCACCCTCACGGACAGCTTCTCGCAGTCAAAGGTGAGGCGAGGGCAGTGGGACGGACAGCAGATGGCTGAAGCGGTCAAGTGCGCCCACACAATGTTGTGGCGCCTCTCAGAGGAGGTGCGGAAGGGAAGGAGGAGACATTTAAAGACAAAGAAGTGAATGATCTGACGGACCCTACCCACTATTCCTCTGCACAACAACGCACTTGTTCTTTTTTAGGGGCATCTGTGCGAAGTGATGTATTATGAGGACTCGCCCATGCATGCCCTCACCTGCACGAT